GGAGCGGGGCCGCTCCCCGCGGCGGCTGGTGGCCATCTTAGTCCTCCTCCTCGGCGCCGAGTGCCCCCTCCCCGCCCGGCTGCCAGCGCTGCCTCCTCCCTCCGCTCCTCCTCCTCCTCCTCCCACTGCTCCCGGCTGGCTGCGGTCGCTCCCGCAGCCCGGGGAGGCCGCCCGCGGAAAGCTGGTCGGTGCTGCCAGGCCGCGGGCCCGTTCCTTAGTTTTGGGGCTTTGTGCAATTATCTTACTTTTTGTAGTGGTGGGTTTGGGTTCTCCCCGTTCTCTGACAGAATTCCTGCTCCTCTAGCGCTGGCTGCCCGTGTCCTCTGCCCTCTACCCCGCTGCCACAGGCCCGAGCAGCTGGCACGCGAGAAGAAGCCGTCCCGGGCAGGAACTGGGATGTGTGATGAGGAAGGGAATGCAGGTCGATGCCGGAGCAAATAACCCACCCTTGAGATGGGCTTGAGTTGCTTTCCTTTTCGCTCTTTGTCAAGTGTGCATCTAGGGAAAGTCCACTGGATATCCCTAGTGCCGACCAGAAAGAGGATTGTGTGTCTGTGCTGACCAACCGGTCTCATCTGAATGATCCAGATGTTTAAACAGAAATAGTTACCCTTTTCCTACTTAATCCAGAAGTTGTGTTAAATTCCCAGCAGCTGAAGGACACCTTTTAGTCTGCAGAACAAGACATCAGTTTAGCCAGGTGCTGGGCACACAGTGCAGGGGGTCACTGCAACCCCAAGGCAAGCTTCATCCATGTGGACACTCCTGAGGAGCAGTGCAAAGGTGTGTCCACACGTGTGTAACCAGAGACCCTTTGCCTTTTTCCAATCACTTATAAACTTACCTCCTCTAAGAAATCAGTTGCTAGCAGCCATTCACCCTCTAGCAGTTTTGTTTGGGGTATTTTTTTGTTTACAAAATCTCTTCTGAAACCTCCATTGAAAAAACAAAATGGTAGTTTGGAGAATCTGGCTACAGCGGTAAAAGCTACAATAAACAATGCACAAACCATCCGAGACCTCTGTGTTTCATTTTGGCAAATTATCATGAGCCCCAGGGACCAGAACCATTGCCTCTTGCCTGTGCTACAGAGGTTTATTAAAGGAAGCTGTGTACTTTGTTGTGCTTGAGGACAAATTGAGTAAACACCATTTATCCATTCTTCCTTCTCTGGCCGTTAGCATCAAACATGTAAATGCACTTAATGTTTTTTCTGGCTGATGTTCTGCTGTTCAGCTGGCAGTGGAAATGATCTGGTCCCATTCAGGTGGGAAAAACTCTGCTTAAATCTTACGTATGTTATGAGTGAGGCTAGCTCTACTTCAGCTCCTAAGAAGCACTCACTGAAGCACTCACTGAAGACAGAAGTATAATTCCAAACAAAGAAAGCCCACTTTTCCCAACTGAGAAACAAAATAAGCAAGTACAAGTGTGTTACATCCTTGCCTACACAATACAGTGCTACTGTTACTTGTTAAAGACATCTTCAGGCATTCAAAATTCACTGTGTGGACAGGAGCCACATCTAGCCCAGCTCAGGAGAACAGTCCAGGCTATAGTTTGGGTTGGAATGGAGCCAACTGTCCCTTTGCAATACCTGTAGTTTTTCTGTGCAGGACAATCCGTGAAGAACAGGCAACAAGAGAGAAGTCATGCGCAGTATATCAGCCATAGTCCTATCACAACAACTCTAATATGATCAGTGGCAGAAGTTCTTACAACAGTATTCTTGTGCCTCTCGAGAAAACTTAGATTTTATTCCATGTATATCTTGTTTTGCCTCTCCTAATCAAATGTTTACTTTTGCTTATTTTTTGGACATAGGGCATGGTAACAACTTCTTCCCAGCCACTCTTTGCAGCCTCCTATTCCAACATCATATGCTAACACCTGTAATTGTCACTGTCTGCTATGGGAAAAAAAAACACAACAATGTTTGTCTGTGGCTAAGGCCATATAAGAAGGGCTACAAGGATAAGAAGGGAAAATGAGGATGGCCAAAACACTCAACTACATATTTTCTTTCAGGGCATGATGTTCTGAGGGCACTCACCATGTTTTGTATGCATCTTGTAGCAATGTATACACAGAAGGAAAGGTAGGTGTGTTGAGTTGCATGCTATCACATGCCAGATTGACATAATTTACCCCTGGAGTGAAGGCTAAGCTCAGGAGTCAGTGGAAAATGTGTTTCTGCTGCAAAACCACCAAGGTCTCTATCTCAGTCCATTCAAAGCTAGCATGCACTGAATTTTTACAGGTGCATCCTCCAGCCATGCCAGTCTAGAAGCAAAAACACAATGAACTCTGCTAGGCAGCATTTGACCCCGTTTAGTGTTTTCATTCTGAACTGCAGCAAAGGGAAGCACTGATTCCATCAGCTTGTTCCAACAGTTATTTCACTTACTGTGCAAGATGCAGCCTGTGAACGGTACATAGCAGTTACACTTCACAAAACAAACAATCTTCTCCCTGTAATTTATGTGTAGGAGGAGACTTCCATCTTTCTTAGGTAAAGGTTTAGCAGGACCTATGTGAGCCAGCTCTACTGAGTAAGAATTAAAGATAACAGAGATGGTGCTGTTCCCAATTCCTTGTAAGTAGTGGGAAATCAGCAAAATCCCCCAGGATGGCAGTGGGAGTTGTAGGGACAGCTGTATGCTATGCCAGATACACGTTTTGCTGCATGGCAAGTTACATTGGTTTTTTTCTTCTTGTGCAGCTAATGCTCATTGCATTCCTATTTATAGTTCCCATTTTTCAGTCAGTTGTCACAGTTCCAAAATAAATAATGGCAAACTGTAATGTTCCATACTGAGTGACACCAGACACTCTTTTTACCTTCTCAGCATCTCTCCTCTTGCAAAGCTCATCACAGGCACCTGCTTGTCTTTCTCAGAGAAGGTGCGAAATAGTAATTACAGTGCTATAGTTAGACAAAAGAAAGCATTTACAGTTAATCTTTCTTCCACTTTGTGAAGCAACTGTGCACAAGGGATTGCATCAATCATTAAAAAATGTGGAGATATATTTAAATTTCTTTGCGTCCTTTTTTAGAGGGTAAGGTGAAACCAACACAATTGTCTTCCAGTGGTGCAGTGTCATTCCGCTTTCAGGTGAGATGCTCATATACTTCCATTGCATTTATTTCACACATCTCGGGCATAAAGCTACATCTGTCCTCTTTGCATATACTAGTTTGTGGCAAAGTACAGGCAAATCCAGAACTGGAAAGAAATTGCTACAAGAAAGTGAAATATAATGGAAGGAATTTTAGTCTTTTTTTCTTTTTTTTTTAATTAGAATTTTTTAACATAAGAAAATAGCACTGCTTCCCAAGTTTACACCGCCTAATGTTTTAATCATACAGGATTCTTAATACTTCCTCTGAGAATTACTCTTCCCTTCCTCCTTCTTGCTTGTTTACAGATAGGTTTTGGTATTAAATAAGAGGAAGGGTGGGGCTGTCAAGGGTCTAGTTCCCCTGTCCTGTGACAGTCATGTTGAATTTGGCTGAAATTCGAAAAATTTTAAAAAAGTTAATTCCCCTGTCACACATGTTCTTCAGAAAAATAATGTCCTGCTTGTCACAAGTTAATAAATTATACAATCCCCAAATAGTCTACTGCTGAGCTCATAGCATTTGTAAAGCATTAACACAGTCACCACAGCAGAAATACCAACAACCTGATGGAGAAAGAGTCAAAGAAAGCAGCAGCCAGGGCTGCTATTCCTTCACCCTCTGGGGCCCAACAATCCAGCCCCACTTTGGATAAGAGCCTTTCTTCTGCTGTCAATGTTAGTCACATAGTTCAAATAAATAAACATTTGCATCCCAGTGCTGTAGAATCCCACTTTAAAGGTGGCTGTTTTAAGAATAGCTTATTACAGATGGACATAGTGTGTGGGTATTTTTCTTCCAAGACAGAACTACTAACAAAGCAGCATTGAAAGCAAGAATATGAGGATGAAGGGAAGAAGCAGAACAGAGGATGGTGAGATAACAGAATTCCCAGCCCACAAAGCTTTAGGCCACATCTGTAACTGTAAAAAAAGCCCAGAGCTTGCAATTTAGTTCTCAAAATCCCTGCCCTGCTTCAGATTATTTGTCCAGAACAGAGTTCTTGCTATGGAGGTTACAAATCTAGTAGTGCATAACTTGTCATATATAACTTGTGTACAATGAAATACTATTGAAGGAATAAAGCATTGATAGAAAAGGACACCCTGCAAACTTGCTTGTAAACAAGTATTATTACATTGTGCATGTGTGAGTATGGAAAAGAGCATGTAGTTAGCAAGAAAATCAAATAAACTTCATGGTGCTTAATATTTAGAGGATATGGAAAATTTAAAGGTCAGAGCAGTATTCTCTGGGTCTAAATTTTTGCGTACCTGTATGCTAATGATTCTTTTTGGACTCTCAGACCTGCACAGGCAAAAGGCAACCACAAGTTCAAGGGCCTGGATTGTGTTCAGGCCACCTGAATGTGACTCTGCACGTCCAATAAAAGTAGGAAAAAGGAGCAGGTGGCAACAGGGAAGGTGCAGTTCAGCTGAGGTCATTGTGGCTTACACAGCCTCAAAGCCTGATGATCCCAGGAGTGAATCCGAGAGGATGAGATCACACTCAGTGAGGGAAAAATGCTGCCATCTGGTGCCTCTGGAGAAAAAAAAAAAAAAAAAAAAAAAAAAAAAAAAAAAAAAAAAAAAAAAAAAAGAAAAAAAGAAAAAGGATTATGTTGATGGTGTCCTTCATCTGCAGTGGTATCAGTGCTTCTGGTTCAGTCCTGCAGACCTCCAGCTGTCTTTTTGTTGTTAGGAGGTGCTACCATTCTTTAAACAAACAAGCTGAAAATGTGCATTTTACTGTGGTTTGCGTGCAAGAGGGATATCCTTAAGAATTAATGTAATCATTAAGGCAATTTTAGGAAAGATGGCTTCAAACAAAGTCACATCTGAGAAGAACATTAGACATTATTTATTTTGATGAAGTTATACATATTCACACCAACAGATTGCAAAATGCTCTCCTATCACAAATCATGTATATATATATGTGCATATATATATGTATAATAATGTATAATAATATATATATTATTTTGTAGCAGAAGAAATAATCTGTAAGTAATCTGGAATCTGTAATCTGTAAGTATATCTGAGAAAGAATGAAGATGCTGCATTTTGCTATCAAATTGAGTGAAAAAGTTTAACAAAACAGGAATTCAATGCATTTCTTTTGCAGAACTGATTTTGACCTTCACCATGGGTGCCCAGCCTCTAATGCCCACTATTTTATTTTATGAGCATTGTAGATTATACTGAGTGCATGTCAGAAGCCTCAGAGAAGCCTCAGAGGACACAGGACCAGACACTAAACACCACTTACTTTTATAATTCGCCTTTTACATCAGCCTATTTTGGATTGTTGTTGATAGAGCCTTAGAGGATGTGCCAAATATGTACTGAGACACTCCACAGTGTTAGAATGAGGGAGTGTTATTTTTGTCTATGATATTTTTATTTTTACAAGCTTTCACAGAAAGCCATAATGGTAGCTTGGAGAGGTTGAAATTACTGATTAAATTAAACCCCATACATTGCTCTATTTTAGATGTAATAAAGATAGCTCTTTCTGGGAACTTAAATTTGTTTATCCCTTGACTAAGGGAAAATCTGAGGGCCACAGGTCAGCTTCCCACTGGAAGTAAACTGAGTAAAGTGGTTCATATATCATATTCATTTTTAGACAGAGCATTTTTGTAACAAAGTGGTCACAAAACCTCAGGAATTAAATTCACTCTTGCAGATAAACTAACTCCTGCAACACCATCGGTTTCCTAGGAGGATAATCTTATCTAAGAACAGCTTCAAACTCATGGAGTAACCCAAGGACCAGAGTCTTTCAAAGGATTTATTGTACAGCTCTGCTGAGCAAAGAAAAGGAATATGTTCCATTTGGTTCATAGCTTTAATGTATCTAGCCACTTCATACATGTTTTTCCTTAAAAAATCCCACATTTTCATTCAAAACAGAACTAGATCCTTTTATCACTAATGTTGCATTGGAGGAACTTGGAGTTTCTTTCTCTCCAACAGCATTGGAATAGCTTGTGGGTACATGGAGGGAATCTAGATTTTTTAGATGTGTACAAAACTTACAGTATAGGAGTAATTTCTTTGACAATCCCTTGACCATGAACAAATCAGGCAACTTGAAGCCCTTCTAATATTCTTAGCCATGTCATATAAAACTAGGTTTAAGAAACAACAAAAAAGTTTTGTCAGTGCCTGCAGCAGCCTTATTAACAGCAACTTCAATTGTCCGTCTCCCTTCAAGTTACAGTTTGGGAAGGGAATTTTATTTCACACATAAAAGTGGTTTTGCACAATTTCCACCTCCAAGTTGAGTAACTGAATCACACCAGCAAGGTGATCCAAAAAGATTTCTTAGTAGCCAAACTTCTGGCTATTCCCAAGGGAGATGATGAGAATTTTCTGTAGTAGATTGATAGTGACTAAGCTATCTTCTGAGCAAGCCATGGGAAACACGGCTGGGAAGAGCCCATGCCGTGTCAGCGGGCTTATATTAACCCAGTCTACAGGGTCCACATCTCCACAGGATCACTCTTTAGGTTCCTGCCTTTTGGGAAGAGTGGGAAAACACCAGGCTAAAACAAGCAGGGGTCCAGATATCTGTGGCCCAGAGATATAGGAATTATAGTAGGGATAAGCTGCAGCTCTGATACATATGTGAAGTCTTGAGGATAACAAAACACAGTTCATGCTCTCTAAAATGACTTGCCCAATGCTTTCCAAATGACTAGATGCATTAACCTCTGGGCCCAGGCTGCCACGATACCACGAGATTTCCTTACAAACCAAATTAATTCTTCTGAATATTTTAGCCATTGGCCTACAATCATTGCTCAGTGCACTCATGCATTTCAAAACTTCCGATGCAGGGCTAAGAGAAAGATGTAGCATGTCTTAGTTTTTCCTTGATTTATGCAGACAGGTGCAGATAATCTGTCAGCACCATTGTCCATCTGTGCACCAGTATACGCTACTTTAAACATGTAGAAATGGCACTTTGCCTTCAGTCACAGGCGGAAAACAGTGACTCCTGGCTTTTTTATGTCATCACTTTAGCCAACCAGCTTTCGCAAATAAGTTTTTTTTAATACACAAAATGGATGCTTAACCAGTTCTGGAAGAGGACACGTGCAAATATCCCATAGTAAAACTACCACCAGCTCAGTATGTGGGCATCAGTTTCTTTAGGCTTTTTAAAAAATTTTTCATACATAAACACTGCCTAAAAGAATGGATTCATCTTTCAACACCCAATTGCCACTGTCAGATGTAGAATGTCAGCTTCTGAAAATGAAGCAGACCCCTCAGCTACCCCCTGAAGCAGAAGAAGTGGTTGCAGCTTGATGAAATCTGTTTCTGAAGTTCAAGCCAGCCACATGGCCGATCATACAGGATGGGGTTTGAACACTGCTTTGCCAGATGCACATTCATCCCAACAATGCTTATGGCTAGCACGTGCACTTATTTTATTGCAGATGGATAACATGTCTGAAAATAAGTCTTGGGTCTGAAAGGCAGCAGTTTCCTGCATGATTTTAAGCTTGTTTTTTTTCCCCCATTAAATGAGCTGATCAAAAAGTACACAAACTAGCTTGCATGTTCATTTTAATCCTCTCATCTATTCTCCTCCATCATGTGATCTTTTCTTCCTCAAAACACCCAACAGCTTTGTACACTGTCAGCAGTAAGAAACCAAGTGCAGGACTCTCCAGAATTTCACAGGCCTTTGACAGAAGGCAGTCCTGAGCGTTATTGCACACTCGTTTTCTCTGCAAGAGCCACCCTGCTCTCTCAAAACATCCAGTGAAGACTCTTGGAAAACAGTCCTTTCCCATAAACTCTTCCTGAGAGTATATTCCTTCATTTGTAGCACAAATTTGTCAACAAATTTGCTTGCTCTCCTCATCATTTTCTCCAATGCCCTCTGAAGAGATAAACTGCAAACCCTGCAACTGGCTTTTATTTCCTCATTCAGGCACTGACCAGAAAGGCATGGGGATATTCTCTTGTTGAGTCATCAGCATAAAATGCTGACTGTCACAATGGAGCAAAGAGATGGCAGTTCCTCTAAAATCTGTGTTCTGGGAAGTGGCCAACAGAGCTGGGATAACCTCTCCTAGCTGATTAGTGGGAGTATCTTCTAGTACATCTGAAACATCACATTTTTCAGCAGAGGCTACAGGAAGGAAATCAAGGTAAAGAAGTGACATTTATGAAGAAAATAATGAATGTCAATTAAATTGCTTCTAATTATTACAGAGATGGACCTGTGCAGAAAACACTTGAGTTCTTCCTTTTCCCTATTGCCTAATTGCAAATCATGCAAGGAGATTTTTCTCTCCCTTTTGAAGGAAAGCCACAAACCACATTTTTAGGAGGAGTGCCCTGCTTAGCAACTCTTGCTAAAGCCAAAGAAGTAGAAGGTAATATTTGCAGAAACACTTGTTGTGGTAATTCTATTCTCCAGCATCTTCAAGAGGTGCCAATCTTTTGGCCACCAAGACCTCAGTTATGCCTCGTAAGGAAGTCTTGGATCTAGTTTATTCTGTGATTTGTGACACAATGTTTTATTATTATGAAAATGACTCACCTTTGGTCAGAGACAAGGACTGCAGGAGAAAACTGCTGGCCTTCAACCTCTGAGCTATAGACTCACCAGATTCTTCTCATTTCCCCTCACCACAGAATCACCCCCAGATACAGTCTTCTCATTCTCCTCACCTGGGAATCACAGCTGGTTCTTAAGCCTACCTATTGCAAGTTTGCAGATAAGACTCCTAAGGAAGTGGCCATCAGTTCAGATTCTACTGGCACAAGGACTGAAAGGGAGAAATTAAGACAATTTAAACAAATATAGGACTAAAGAGTAGAACAACATCCTGTGTTCACAGCAGAATTCATACTAAGAACAGAATTTGTGGTAGAATCACAGTATTGGATTAATTTAGGGGATTTAAACCTTTATATGTAATTTTAAACAAGAAATATTAATTGAGGGAAAAAAAATCCATATAATGTTAAGTTACATGATTTGTCTTTTCCTCCATGACTGTCTAAAGACTGGGTGAAAGCAAGAAAAACAAAAAAACTCAAATATTATTGGCTGACGTGCTGATTCCTAATACTCTGAGAATCACATTTCTGTGACAATTTTCCAGCAGTAAAAAAGCTTCTAAATTAAAGGTGAGATTGCTTAGTCATCAGAACTTGGTGGTGTAGTTGTACCTGCTGTAGGGGGTTGTATTACATGACCTATGATTACCATTCTATTCCTACTTCTCTGTCACACAAACTGCCCAGCAGAATTCCTAAAATTGAAAGGTGACTCAATCTCCCTATCCAGAAATAACATTGATATTTTTTGCATGAGTATAAGCTCTAGCTTGCAGTGTGATGATAAAATCCTTCCTGAGACACCCGGGGAAGGTCTCTGCCATGTAGGAGTTTCCATCACTGTTCCTAGAGGCTTACTGAGCAATTCACATGCTTCCCACGTACCACATTTCCACCATCTGCAGCTTCCACGTGGTTTCCAGATGTCCTATTGCCACCGGCAGCCGCTTGTGAAGCAGCCTCCAGAGCAGGGCTTTCTCACTGTTTCCAGGACAATGCAACATGGGCCACACAGTAGCCCCAGCTCACCAAAACACTATCTCCGGCCTACACAGCATCCCAGCACCTTCTCACCGCCAGCCAGAAGGCTAAACTCAGGCCAGACTCACCCTGTCTTAATTGCAGAAAGTGGTTCAGAGCAAGAGGAATTGTGCCCAGCAGGCTGCAGAGGGGATTTTTTTGAAGGTGGATTGCAGGGGGTGAGAGACGGGTGCCAGGAAGGGGACAGAGCTTTTGGGGGATGGCAGTGTTTTCTAGTGGAGATGGCCTGAAGAATATAATTTGTGTGCTTGAGCATGTCCAACCAGGCTGGCCAGCTTCAGTTGGGAAATGCTGTATGCTTCTTCTTGATCATGGAGACAGATCTCAGAGCTGTCTGTTTTGTACAACTGCTTTCATTTCAGGTCATCTCAGTCCATACAGAAAAACCTTCACCTTCTTCTTCTATCATTCTCTTCCCAAAATACAGAAAAGCCTTTTTTTTTTTTTTTTTTTTTTTTTTTGGCTCAATGAGCAGGTGAGAAGCATGTGGCCAATTCAGAAATATGGTCTGTCCCAAAACTGCAGGACACATTTGCATGCTCTTGTGAAAAAGATGTAGCACCTCAGTAGATTACTTGATTTTCAAGTTGTTGCACCTGTATGGAGTCATAAGGTAGAAACTCACTTGGTGTTTTAAATAGCTGGTTCTGGCAGTGTCATTGTTTCCTCAGGTTTGGGGAGTTTGGTCTGTGAATACAGCTAATTTAGGCATTATACTGCATTCTCTTGGCCAGGTGGGTGTTGGATCAGGTGTTCGTGGCTCTGTGGAATCACCAGGTAGGTGCACTCTTCAAGGCCATCCTAAATGCTAAGGTCTGCAGGCTTGCCTTCAGAGTGACTGGAACATGAAAATGTCACCCCAGTGCCTAATCACCCAAAAAAAACCCCATTCTCAAGCCTCTGCCTCTTCTTCAAGAGGTATTTTTTTTACAATACCTTGCAGAGGAGATGCCTGGCACAATCTGTGTTCCATAGCAAAGCAGGTGGATCCTGCAGGAGGGCTGTAGGTTACTGACAGCACAGGAAGGAAGGAAATCAGTATCTTCTATGAAGCTGCAAGCAGCTTCTTCTGGGGGCGGGCACACAAACTTCCTCCTCTCTTACTGTACTTGTCAAATCAGACAGTGTTCAAAAAAACTAGTCTGGTTTTGTGTTCTCTAAAGACACTGGGAGCAGGGAAAGCATCTAGTTTGGTCCTTTTGTCTCAAGGAGACATTTGGCTTCATTTACAGACATCTAAGATTTCATTTGAACTACCGAAATATATTCTAGTGTTTTAGTCCAGGACACAAGAACTGTTTTTCAAAATGCTGCATTCAGCTGTTAGTCTCTTCCTATGTGAATGCACTCCTCAAAAGTCTAGCTGTAGAGATTTCTACTTTAGGGTTTTCTGTGTGTTTTCTAAAATAAACACAATTAACCTGCCCAAACAAACATCCATCTTTACAGCATATCTAAAGAAGGCAAACTTAAAATAACCTGTTTACTGATGGCTAGATAGAGAACAAAGCTGAATGGTGAGAAGGTTGATTTAGAATGCATTTTCTAAAAAACAATTACTGAAAGAAGAATGTGAGAACCAGGCTTAAACAATGGAGAAATTGCACAATATAAATATTTTAAATATAAATATTTTAAATATAAAATAGTATATGATATATTATATGTATATAATATAGGATATGTTATATATATAATATTTATATTTAATAATAATTTAAAAATTGCCATATTAATCCTTAGTAAAACAATAGTTTAGTCCTTCTCCACTCTAGAAGTACACTAAACTACAGTCTGAGAAAATGGAATATTATTCACCCAACTGTGTTCTCACTTAGGTCAAGTTTAATTAAGAATTGTCTTAATTCAAACAGTAATATCACATCCCTGATAAAGAGCAAGTTAAACCTCCTCTTGCACTGAACATCATCATGTTCCCAAGAGTTTCAGTGTTAACTCAAGTTAATGATGTTTAAATTATTTCCTTCAGTGAGACGATGTAAAGATCATCATCTGACCTCTTAGAACAGGAGCAGCAAATTAAAGCCTTCTGCCACTGACAGCAAAGGCTGCCTTACCACTGCACCCTCGTGGTGGTTTGCCTGCCTTGAATTCCAACACTGCAGGGCTACATCTTGTAAAAATTATTGCTCAGTTACACTGCTTAGCTTCTTACCTCTTAGGATTCTTCCAGGGAGGTTTTCAAAGTTCTCACCTTCCAAATACCTTTGTCTGGCAGTAGCATGAAAAACATAAATCACTGAGCATAAATGCTCACCTGTGGAAGTTTTCAAGCATGGAAGTGTACAAATGGGAAGCTGTTTCTGTCTTACAGCAGAGCTAAAGGCAGATAACTTCCAGGTGAGTCAGTTAAGAAAAAACTGGTGTTTTTCTTGGCATCTTGGGCAGCATTCTCTTTTTGACTGTTTTTAAACGAGCCCTTCAAACAGGCAAGGGACAGGAATGAAAGAGACTGGACAAAATTGCCTTAAATCTGTTTTACAAGTTTTTGAAGCTTTTACCTCGGGAACATTTGAATTATCAGATAACTGGGATCTTTTTCACGTATAGTGAGTATACAGATGCTCTGGCCACAAAACCAAACCAACCAACCATGAACCAGAATTTGTTTGTAGTTGGTGTTATCAGTGGCTTGAATAAATCATCCTTGTGCTGAAGACATGCCAAATCTCTGCACAAATTAAAAACCAACCATGAAGTACACAAAGGGACCTTGTCTGATTCTGAAAAAAAGCTTTCTTCTGACCTTTTGTGGTGAATTTCTACACTGTAAATAAATAAAAAATGATTTATGGCTTTCTTCTAGAAAGTTACACTTTATGATCTTGTGGCTAGGGATGATGCCACCTGCAGCAGGCAGGTCATTCTTTTGTTTTGCTTTACAAGGGTTTTCACAGAAAGAAAGCTTCAAAGCAGCAGAAATCTACAAACTGTTTTTTCTTACAGCCTCTGTTCAAAAAGGGTGGCATTATACTTGCTGCATACCAGATGAATAAACATGATAACCTCAATGCTGACAAATTACTTAAGAGAAGACAGAAGGCAAATACTACATTGTCTTCTAACCAAAGCTTCAGAGGACTTTGTCCTTGGTTTAAAAATGAGGTCAAATACACCAATGCCTACAGACTAGCACTCTCTTCAATGCTACCCTAGCAAGGGACTAAAAGTCCCATCCAGCCTGGCCTTGACTGCTTCCAGACATGGGAAGTTTAAAACCATTCTTCCTTTTTCTATCACTCTATGCCCTTATAAAAAGTCCCTCTTCATCTCTCTTGTAGCCCTTTTTGATACTGGAAGCCTCTTCAGAGGCTTCTCTTCTCCAGGCTGAACCACCCAATCTCTCTTAGTTTGTTTTCATAGGAGAGGTGCTCCAGCCCTCCAATGATCTCCAGACTCCCTCCAACTGTCCCATGTCCTTCTCATATTGGAGACACGGTACTCAAGGTGGGGTCTTAGGAGAACAGAGTAGAGGGACAGAATCACCTCCCTTTACCTTGTGTCACTTTTCATGCAGCCCAGAACACATTTGGCTTTCTGGGCTGCAAGTGCTCTTTGCTGGGTCACATCAAGCTTCTCATCCACCAACAACCCCAGTTCTTCTCAGGGCTGCTCCCAATCCCTTCACTGCCCAGGCTCTACCTGTGCTTGGGATTGCCCTGATCCAAGTGCAGGATCTTGCACTTGGCCTTGTTCAACTTCATAATGTTCACATTATGTTCAGCTCTCAAATCTGTTAAGGTCCCTTTGGATGGCATTCATCCCTCTAGCCTGTCCACCGCACCACACAGCTTGGTGTCATTGGCAAAATTCCTGAGGCTGTACTCAATCCCACTGTCCATGTTGCCCACAAATATTTTACAACTTCTTTTCTATCTGTGCCTGCTTTTTCCCTTTGAATAGGAAGTGCTTGTAAACACGTATTTTTGCAATGTGAAATTACTTTAGTTGTGCAATGACTGTAATTTGCCACTTTACAACAGACCAGGCTAAGGTCAAATTTACATGTTGCTTTTGGAAGTACATCTGGCATTAGGAGAGCCAAGGATCCTGCAAACTGAAGAAAAAAATACCTCTATTCACTTTGCCAAGTAGCTTCCCTAGTTTTGGTTTGAGGCTGAAATTAGCTAGCTTGGGACTGGTTTGGAAATTCATTTTTGCTGAAGAGAGGAGGGCCATTCAAGTGTGGGAAAAACTCTTTAGTAACAAGGTGTCAGATAGCTTTGAGCCCAAGTTGGAAACCTAAATTGTTCCTTTCTATTTGCTAACAATGCTTAGCCTTGAATCAATACTGATTGCATGGGACAGGAACAATTTGGCCACTTTGCTCAAATGTCTGGGTATAAAAGCCTTTAGAAGAAAATCCATCAAGATAAAAAAAATCTTTTAGATCAACACAATATGTTTCAATTAAGCCTGTTCCAGTTAATGTGAAATCTAGAGTTTCATTCAGTCTTTGCTGCATGTTTGGGAAGCCATAATCTCAAAATACATTTGAAGTCACTTTTGCTCAGACAAACAGAAAGGTTAGGGGGTATTTAAGTACCCAGATCCAGATATATGTTCTGCAGGATTCCTCCTAACAGGTCCTGAAGGTTTTTGACAACACAAATGCTCACAAGCTTTCAAATTAATGCTCTCCAGGTTCACCAACTTCTGCTTCTGGGACAACTCAAAACATGAGTCTCTTTCAGCCGCAGGACTAGCCTGCATACCCATGCTTATCCTGAATGCACCAAAACCAGATAATGGCCTGCCACATCCTCCCCCCCCTAAGGTGCTTGGCATGCAGTGTCTGCCAATGGCAGCTTTTTCCAGAAGAGACCAGAAAGACATGATTGCTTCCCAAGACATAGGGAGCACCGGGAGTTGGGACCTGCAGCTTTGGAGGTCTATGCCTTGCCCTTTAGGATAACTAAACATGGAGTTTCCTTCTCAGACAACCTCTGCATCACAGGATTCTACTACAAGCAGCCACCATGGAAGACAGGGTCTCATTCCTGACAGAGTATGGAGGTGTTTTCTAGAGACAACAAGGAGCCTGGAACCTGAGCTGACCACGTTTGTATGCTGGAGTAGATGAGGGGTGATGGCTGCACCCCTGCCCCACTGCTGGATGTGGAAGGAATAATCCTTGCTTGGCTCTCAAGAGAGCCATTTGTTCCCTCTCTCTTCAGTGGCAGGAGGTACCTCACCATAAATCACAGTATCGAAAGGCACTGTATTATGTCCAGAAATTTAAGGGGTTCTAGGATGTACAGGAAGTTGTCTGCAGCTGACTCTGCCAGCTCCTCATTCTGAAACACCCAATTCTTAGAAACATTTTAAAAAATGTCTGTTACCAAGATTATCCTGGAATCCCCAAACACATCAGGTCATCCAGATTTCTAGCCTCAAAACAGTGTATCATTGGTGCAACTGGAAGTCTGCTGAGACACAGCTTTGCCCAGTAGAAGCTGTCCTTTATTCCTGTGGCCTCTACCACGGCTGGCTGTCCCTTGCTATTCTTTCGGTGAAGAAAGTTTCCTAATACCCAAGTTCCGCTGGTGTAGCTCATCCTAGCTATTGCTTACCACTTGGGAGAAGAGACTCACCCCCACCTCAGTGCATCCTTTTCTCAGGTAGCTGTAGAGAGTGGTGAGGTCTCCCGGATCTCCGGATCCCGCAGCCCGGCCGCCGGGCGCGTCCTCCCGCAGCGGCGGGATGAGGAGGAGTGCGGCGGGATGTGCGGGCCGCGGGGACCCCTAGTGGCACCGAGGCCCGGCCGGGAGAGGTTTTAGATCTGCTGCCTCACGCAGATATCTGGTGAAATGCTTGCTGAAAAAAAAAGTAAAGTCTGTTTCTTTGGACCACTCTGTTCAAAAGAGGAAAAAAAACAAGTTCAGTGTGAATTATTGCCACAAAACCGGGTCCACGAAGTGTGGCTGTTTGGTAACACACACTTATTATTTAGCCTAACACTTTAAAGTCTTATAAACCGAGCTTAAGGAGGGAGATGAACTGTTAGAAGGAGGGTCCATTCAAAAATGGGATGTACTCAATCCAATCAAGCCTCAGCTTAGTGTCCTGTGTCTAACATTGACATTAAGCAGTTGACACCAAAAGCATAAGGCCAGAGCCTTCCTTAGGATACTCCAAATACTCTTCTGACTTCATAATTTTCAGCTCGTGCTAGGCCAGGCACTGGTGTTGTCTATTTAGGATGTCCCAACATAGTGCAGACATGCCTTACAGTCATGGGGCTGCAACGGTGTGGCACAGTGGCTGGCCCTGGGCAGAGGGAGGCCCATCCCCGTTCCGTCGCGTCCCGTCGCGTCCCGTCCCATCCCGTCCCGTCCCACCC